CCTCTGGGTTCAAGACATTCTCCCACCTCAGCCACACAAAGTATTAGAAATACAGTCCTGAGTCACCATGCCTTGCACCTCACTGTTTTTAGGTGTTTTCTTTTGTGATATCATACAGTTTGATTAATATTGCTTTTAATACAGTTTTATTTTTCTATTTTTGACACATTAATTCCAAATAGCAATTTATGTCTGGTTCTTTTACAAACTCATATATCAACTAATCTTTGGAAATGACCTTTTATTTTTATTTTTTTCACATATTTTACTAAACCACTACATAAATGTTTGGGAAATGTTTCATATTTTACATTCAAGTCACCATCTATGTAGAACTGTAATCATAATTTTTATCACTTGGACTTTGACACTTTGAGTGTATAAATTGTGCTCAATATTTCAACACAATAGTATTGCTATCAGCTCAATCTAATTTTATATTTATCTCATACATTTTATGTTGATTTGCTATATTCATAATTATGTTGACTTGGCTGTTTTCCAAATAGGGCTAGTCAAGATTATACTGTCTTGTTATTTCCACATCTGTTTTTCTCACTGTACTGTTAGCCCATGAAGAACATGGATTTGACCTGCATAGGTCCACATTTTTTCAGCAAATACACTAGAATTTCATTTTTGACAATTTGTGATCATGTAAAAGAAATGTGCAAAGCACAGTTTAGAAATATACTTTAAAAATGTCATGAGGAGCTGGGCTTGGTTGGCTCAACCTGTAATCCCACGCCTTTGGGAGACTGAAGTGAATGGATTGCCTGAGCCCGTGGGTTTGAGACCCACCTGAGCAACTTGGGGAGACCTCCTCTCTACAATAAATAAAAAATTAGCCAGGTGTGGTAGCACATACCTGTAGTTCCAGGTACTTGGAAGGCTGAGGTGGAATGATCACCGGAGCCCAGCAGGTCGAGGCTGCGGTAGCCGAAAGCGGTCACTGCACTCCAGTCTGGGTGACAGAGTGACTCCAACTCAAAAAAAAAGTCATGAGGACATCAAGTAGAAGTATATTCTTGTCTATTTTGACATTTACTATTATAAAGATATACAAATCTATCATACAAAGGTAAACATAATTTATGCACTTACAGGGTATGCATGGCACCATTAGCAGTTGAGAAATGTGTAAATAAATGTAAAGATGCAGTTTTAACTAATTAAGGCATAAAATTAGCTATGACACAAAGTGTATCAGTCAATAATTTTGGAACCACTTCCTGCTGCCAGGTGATTAAAGCAAGTGTTGTGAGATTGTGTTTGACACACCATGTGATGCTAATGTTTCCATGACCATTAGGTCTCTCCAGAGTAAACCTAGGAAATTACAAAGAATCATTGTATTTATGGTAAAAGAGTGGAAAGGGAAGGGTATCAAGATACAAATGTTGAAGATAATCCAGAGCCCAGAACCCACACCACAGGAGTTAGAGGCAGATGACTTGAGGGGACAAGTGCTTCCAACACAGTGCCAGATGACTAGAAAGGAAACAAGAGCCTGGGCATGGTGACTCATGCCTATAATTCCAGCACTTTGGGAGGCAAAGTACAGCAGATTGCCTTAGTCTAGGGCTTGCAGGACAGCCTGAACAACTTGGTGAGACCTTGTCTTAACAGTGAATTCAATAGTAGGCTAGGCATGATGGCAAACGTTTGTGATACTGGCTATTCAGGAGGCTAAAGGAGAAAGATGGCCTGATACCATCACATTGAGACTGCAGTGACCATGGATATTCCACTGTATTCCAGCCCGGGCATCAGAGTCAAAATCCAGCCTAATATATAAGTATTTACAATAGTCAGGATTCAGAAAGTTAGGTCTTATTATTACAATAATCAAAATGACACATAACTAAAAAAAAGGAAGAAAATATGACCTATAAAAAAAGGATTACTAGAAACATCCTTCCATAAGTTACCCAATAGTATATACTCATCATATACCTACAATATTGGGTAAGATAGAATAGAATAAAACTTATGGCAATATAACAATTTATTGTGTGGAAAAAAAATGTTAATACTTTATAAACAATTCTGTTCATTAAAATAAACAAATTTACATAGCCTAAACAAACCTTCAAATTTCACTGTATGCAAAACCAGATTACAAATATTCAAGCATTTCTTTTCTTCTGATAGTGTGCTCCATGTATGAAAAGCTTTCTTCAGGTTTAAAAACTGAATCTGATTATTTACTAAACATAAACTTATAATGTATACATTTTAAGAGAATAATTTTCTTTGCTCTAATGTCTATGAAAATATTTATATTATATCAAATTACACATATGGCTTGTAAGTATTGATAGTATGAAGATATACAAGATATAATGTTTTAGCCTCATTTTCTCATTTGCATGTAAGTAGTAAGACAAGTGATTTCTAAAACTCTCAATGATTCTTGGTCATTTATTTCCAAAGAAAAATATTATTCTAGCCAAGCTCGGTGGCTCAGCCTGTAATCCCGCACCTTTGGGAGGCTGAGGTGAGTGGATTGCCTGAGCCTGCGGGTTTGAGACCCGCCTGGACAGGCAAGACCTCATCTCTACAATAAATCAAAAAATTAGCTGCACGTGGTAGTGCGTACCTGTAGTTCTGGCTACTCAGAAGGCTGAGGTGGAATGATCACCGGACCCCAGCAGGTCGAGGCTGCAGTGGCCCAGAGCATACCACTGCACTCCAGTCTGGGCAGAGTGAGACTCCAATTCAAAAACAGAAAAATATTATCCTGAGCACTCACCTCATTCCGAACTTGCAATAATGCTTAATGTGAGCCACAAGAAACCTCTTCACTTCAAACTTTTAAAGGAGATTACATATCAGTGTTCTTCATCCTATATGAAAAGCATGAGATGAGTGCTGATGACCTACTATACAAGGACATTTCATAGCTCTAACTTACCAACAGCTGACCCCATGCCTTTACATAAGCACTACGAATGAAGGCATAGCATCATGTGATTTGAGTTACATCAATATTGTTTGCTTTTTGAAATATCCTCGTCTTCTGTCAATGCAAAACCAAAATTATACAGAGAATATACTTATGCTTTCCGAAAAAACAAACAAAAAACCATCTTCTAATGCCACTCAATATTTGATATTTATTTCAACTTGACCTTTCAGTAAATAAACTTCCATATACATTGCTTCTGTAAAGTTTTCAGCCCGAATACCCTAGTATTTCCAATGGCATATATTTTGAACAAAGGCCAGTTCACATTCTTTAAATTTGTAGATTCTCTACAATGCACATTCTAATGTCAAATAAAGTTTTTCTGGTTAATGTCTTTAGACATGTTTTGCATTTGTACATTCAAAAGATATGTGGTTTGAGTAAAGATAACGGTACTCTTTACATCTGTAAATTTCTTGACATGTCTCTATTGTTTATAACTAGATATATGATTTTCCAGCCATTAGAGATACTGAAAATTTAGAGTGTAAATTGTCTGATGTTGAGAAAACTTGGAATAACAGTGAAAATCTTTACCCCATTCTGCCCATCTACAGGGAATTCCTAAATATAGATGCTCATATATCAACCAAATATTGAATGAGGGCTAAAGCCTTTATCTCATTCTTCTCATTTGTATAGTTTCATCTCAGTATGGATTCTCATATGTCCAGGTACTTGTGCATGAGAGCAAAGGGCTTACCATGTTTTTCACATTTGCAGAGTTTCTCTCCAGTATGGATGATTATGTGTCCAGCAAATCCGTTGTGAGAGTGAATGGCTATGTCCCATTCTTAACATCTGTAGGGTCTTTCTCCAGTATCAACGGACTTATGTTCTGTAAATACTTTATGAGAGCAAAAGATTTTGCCACATTTGTCATGTTTGCAGGATTTCTCTCCACTATGGATGGCCGTGTCCAGCAAATCCTTTATGAGTGTGAAAAGCTTTGCCACACTTTTAACATTTGTAAGGTTTCCCAATAGTATGGATCTTCTTGGCATGTCAAGGAAGTAGTGAATGAGAGTGAAAAGCTTTTCTGCATCTTTCACATCTGTAGGGTTTCTCTCCAGCATGGATGGTCATGTGTCCAGCAAATCCATTGTGAGAGTGAAAGATTTTGCCATATTCTTTACACTTGTAGGATTTCTCCCCAGTATGGATGGTAGTATGTCCAGCAAATCCTTAATAGAGGAAAAGGCTTTGCCACTCTCTTCACATTTGTACAGTTTCTCTCCAGTATTGATGGTCTTATGTCCAGCAAATCCTCCATGAGTACAAAAAGCTATGCCACACTGTCACATTTGTGGGGTTTCTCAACAGTATGGATATTGCCATGTTGTGCAAGTAGTGAATGAGAGTGAAAAGCTTTTCAATATATTTCACATTTGTAGGGTTTCTCTCCAATATGGATTGTCTTATGTCCAACGAATCCATTGTGAGAACAAAAGGCATTTCCACATTTTTCACACATATGGTTCCTCTCCAGTATGCACCTTAATATGTCCAGCAAGCTTTGAATGGGAGCAAAAGGCTTGGCCACATTCTTCACATTTGTAGGATTTCTCCCAAGTATACACTGTTTTTATGTCTAACAAATCCTACATGAGTGAAAGGCCTTGCCACATCTTCATATTTGTAGGTTTTTTCCCCCCAGTATGGATGGTTTTTTTTTTTTGAGTTGGAGTCTCACTTTGTTGCCCAGACTGGAGTGCAATGGGTGCTTCCAGCCACCACAGCCTCAACCTGCTGGGCTCCGGTGATCCTTCTGCTCAGCCTTCCAAGTAGCTGGAACTACAGGTGAGTGCTACCATGCCCGGCTAATTTTTTGATTTATCATAGAGATGAAGTCTTGTCTACCCAGGCAGTTCTCGAACCTGTGGGCTCAGGCATGGATGGTCTTATGTAAAGCAAATCCATAGTGAGAGTGAAAGACTTTGCCACATTCCTCAAATTTGTAGGGTTTCTCTCCACTATGCACCTTGATATATCCAGCAAGCTATGAATGGGAGCAAAAGGCTTTGCCACATTATTCACATTTGTAGGATTTCTCCCCCGTATGCATGGTGTTACGTTGAAAAAATCCAAAGTGAGAATAAAAGGCTTTGCTATATTCCTCACATTTGTAGGGTTTCTCTCCAGTATGGGAATTCTGATGTTCAATAAGCTTTGAGTACTGAGTAAAGCCTTTACCACATTCTGCACATGTATAGGGATTCACTCCTGTATGGATGGTCTTATAGCCAGCAAATACTCCTCAAAAGCAAAAAGCTTTGCCACATTCCTCACATTTATAGGGTTTCTCCTCAGAATGCATGGTCTTATGTTGAGAAAATCCAGAGTGAAAGTGAAGACCTTGCCACATTCCTCACATTTGTAGGGTTTCTCTCCAGTATGGATACGCTGATGTTCAATAAGATTCGAGTCCTCAGTAAAGCTTTTGCCACATTCCGCATTTTTGCAGGGTTTCTCTCCAGTATGGATCACTGTATGTCAAGTAAGATGTGAATGAGAGTTAAAAGCTTTGCCACATTCTGCACGTTTGTAGGGTTTCTGTCCAGTATGGATGGTCTTATGTACAGCAAATTGCCCTTGAGACTGAAAAGCTTTGCCACATACTTCCCATTTCTAGAGTTTCTGTCTATTATGGATTAGTGTTTGTGGAGAAAGGTTTCAATGAGAGTGAAAGTCTTTGCCACATTATTCACATTTATAGGATCATGACCCAGAGGCCTGTGACCAATACTAAGGCTTTTAGATGTGACCCAAGTTTGAATTGTAAGTTTTGTGAAAGCCAAAAACTGCAGTTTGTGGAAGAATGGGAGCAATGAGCTTCTAAAGTTAGCTTGTGTTCATCCCAGTCTCAGAGTGTTTAGGTTTTGAGCTCACAGGAGCTTAATCTGGTTAGTGCTGTGTAGAAAGGGGGAGAAAATGGGGTCAATAGCTCCCAAACACATCCTAGTGGTCTCGGGGTCAACGGCCCTTCCTGATCCCTAATGCTCAGTGGGCCTTCGTGGCTGGCTCCCAACAATAATATAACTTTTTTAATTCCTTTTTTTGAGTTAGAGTCTCACTTTGTTGCCCAGGCTGGAGTATGGTGGTATGCTCACAGCCAATGCAGCCCCAATCTGCTGGGCTAAGGTGATCTTTTTGCTTCAGTCTTCCAAGTAGCTTGAAATGCAGACGCACACTACCACACCTTGTTTATTTTTTGATATATTGTATAAAGAAAGTCTCACAAAAGTTGCCTAGGTTGGTTTCCAGTCCCTGAGGTCAGACAATCCTCCCACCTTGGTTTCCCATATTGCTGGCATTATAGGCTTGAGCCACCATGCCCAGCCCCCTGTTGATTCTATTAATGTAACTAATAGTATTGATGGATTCTTGAAAGCGGAATCTCATTTTATCCTGGCACAAAGGGCACTTGATCATAATGTGATGTCCTAATGTGCTGACAATGTTTCAAATAATCCTTACATTTATATTAGAATGTGATTTTTCTATAAGAAAAATATATGAAATTTTTAGTATGCAATAAATACTGTGTGTGGAGGTTTTCCTCAGACAAGTAAACCACATTTTTATAGTTTTCTAATATCTCCTCACTGGATATAATCTGGCATTTTCCCTTTTCTGTAGAGAATTCCATGGTCACATCCCCGAATGTCAACATACTCTGAAAACAACAAGACATACTTACCAAGTGGCCATGGGCAAAAGTGTTAACTGCAGGAGAAATGAGAGTGAAAACATTCTAACTTTTATGACAATGGAAATACTGGATAATTTTTGACACAGAAATATTCTATAATGTATTCTTTGAATCTGAGGAAATGGAATGAAATAGGATTCATTGAGATAGTGCAGATAATATACTTTCTTGAATGATACAATATAAAATTTAGGCACAAACACAGGTGTACACATTTTGGAGGACTGTATTTCCATCACACAGGATAAGTAGTATATATTGCTCAGATAAAAAACTAAGAGTTAAAAGGAACCCTGCGCATTTTAATGTGTACAACATGGAAATGAAGTGTCAAAAAGCAAATCTGATTCAGGGGATCTGGGGTAAAACATGAGATACTTTTCTTTTTTTTAAGTTTGGGTTGCTGTCATTGTTTCTGGGGTGCAGTTCCTTAATCACAGCTTACTACAACCTCTACTTTCTTGGCTGAACAGATCCACTCTGCTCAGCCTCCTGAGTGACTGGGTGTACTCAAATGCACAAACACACCAGGCTAAGTTTTTTGATATGTGGTAGAGATGATGGCTGGCTATATTTCCTAGGTGGTCTCAAACTCTTGTGCTCAATACATCCTTCTGCCTCAGCTTCCTAAAGAACTGGAATGATAACCATGAGAAGCTAGCTATTCATGCTCTGACTTTCTGCACTGCTAACACACTCACCAGTGATGTCAATGCTTCTGGCCCAAAAGAAATATTTTATCAACATCTGCCAAGTGACAGAACTTGGGATTATCTCAGCTTATCTGACAAGTAAAAATGAGAACCTTCCATTTTCTTTTTTTCTACAATTTCTTGTGGAGTACTGACACCATTTTAATTTCTTTTTTTGAGTCACAGTCTCACTCTGTTACCCAGATTGGAGTGCAGTGGCACTCTCAGGTCACCAGCTTTTGACCTGCTGGGCTCAGGCGATCCTTCCAACTCAGCCTTCCAAGTTGCTGGAACTAGAGATGTACTAACACAGGTGGCTAATTTTTTGAGGTCTCGCCAAATTGCCTGGGCTGTTCTCAAACCCACGAGCTCAGGCAATCCACTCACCTTGGGCTCCCAAAATGCTGGAATACAGGCTGAGACACTGAGCCCAGTCTCTCAGATTATTTTCTACAAATGCACTCAATATTAAGTGCATGTGCTGATAAAAGAAAACTTATGGAGCAAGTAATACTTACTAGAGTTGGTAAAAATGGCCCACATAGCTGGATGCAGTGGCTCATGCCTATAATCCCAGCTCTTTGGGAGCCCACAAATTCGAAATCAGCCTGGGTAACTTGGTAAGAACTCATCTCTCTAACAAAACCAAAATTAGCCTGAGGTAGTTGTACATGCCTGTAGTTCTTACTACTTGGAAGTCTCAGGTGGAAGAATCACCTGAAACCAGCAGGTCAGGACTGTGGTGATAATTAAAGTGCCACTGCACCCCAGCCTGGATGACAGAGGGATACTCTGAATAATAAAAAAGAAAACCAAGAAAACAGGACTATTCACTTCTCAGGACCTTGGATGGATTTTGAGTCTATAATATAAGTGAGGGAGTCAGGCATGGTGGGTCTTGCTTATAATACCAACACTTTGGCAGGTGGAAATGTGAAGACTGACTGAGGCCAGGGGTAAACCACCCTAGGCAAGTTTACAAGAACTCTCTACAATGAATTAAAAAAATAAAATTAGCCAGGCTTGGTGACATGTGCCTGTAGTTCTCGCTACCTGCTAGGCTGAGGTGGAAGGATCACCTGAGCCCAGCAGGTTGAGGCTTCGGTGACCACAAGAGTACTGTATACTCACACTTGGGTGAAAAAAAGGATAAATTCTCAGTGATGTATCACATAACAAAGATCTGAGTACTATGTGTACTCGCTCATAATTTGACCTTGAACATTATTCAGAATACTATAAGAAAGTGACTAACAGTATTGCGACACAGCCATGGGAGTGGAAGGACATAATATCAACAAAGGTACCCAAACTTTACATGTACCCTAAACTGTTCCCTACATTTTAAAATAAAAATAATAGAAAAAAAGAAAAAGAAATAGAAGAGAATACAAAACCTGGTTTTCCAGTATGAGGACAATGTCAACAATTTCTATTCCATACTAAGTATTTCATATCCATTCTTTGTAGAAAAATCACATTTGATTAGAAATGTAAAAATTATTAGAAACATTGTGTCAGCACTTTGCAACATTACATCATGATCAATTTCCCTTTATGTCAGGAAAGAATAGGAGACTCAGCATTTGGGAATCCATCAATATAATTAGTCACATTAACAGAATCAATGAGAAAGTCATATGATCATGTTAACAGATTAAAATGATAATTGTGACACATTTAGAAAAGAATTATACATTTAAAAATTAACGGATAAGGAAGTAGTATATAATATTTCTAAAACATGAAAAACAGTAGAAATAAAAGTAATAAAAATACATTTTGGGAAGAAAGTTTAAATGGTATCACAAAGTTGATATCCTGTAATCAGTTTATCAATTGAGCCTGATAATGACATAGATACCAGCTATTTTTGTTCTTGAGAAAACTTTTTGCACAAAAGAACATTTAAATTTAAAATTGATAAAAATCTGAAAAAAATAGGATAATATTGTACATAATAAGGACTAGGAAAGTAAAGCAGTGTGATAGTGACTTTTTAAAAAGATTGTGAAATCAAGGGAATACAAAGTTTAAAAGGAGAATAAGACATATATGTAAATGCACTATACAATCAATCCACAGTGGTGGAAGAGAAGTAGTGGTCTTGCTGTTTCTCACTGGAGACTGAAGATTACACATGTGGATAGATTTTGTCTTCCAGTGTGCTTGCTTCTTGCAGATCTTCCTCACCCATGTTAGGCAGAGATGACCCAGCCCTTCAGACTGTTCAGAGTCTTGGAGTCAGTGTCCTAAGCACAGTAAGTCCTTAATTACAAGTGAGATCTGACAAAAGAGTAGCCAATGTTATATGCAATGGAAGACCAATCACATACTAAGTCAGTGATGGATAATGTTCTAAAAACTAGATGATTCTTCAATTTATTATTTAGGAAGCACAGAATTCTGTTATATTTAAATAAATTGGGTGAAACTACACTTCTATCTAAATATTTTAAAATCCGACGTTGCCATTGACACGGTGTCTGTAACTCAGTGTCCACAAGTTGATTCTCCTTCATTATGTCCTTTACTCTTTCACTTCCATTATTTCTTCATATGATTTTGTCTTCTTAAAATATGCTTTCTAGAGGCTGCCATTGGTAATCAAACCACTCCGGTATTTTATCTGGAAAATATTTCTTTTTTCCTATTCTTTAACCATATCCAATTCTACCTTTAATAATATTTTATATCCACTGTTAATACTAGTTTCACTGTTTTCAAGAAAACAAGTTTTGGAAATACCCTTAGTGCTTTTAGTGTAGTTTTGTTTTGTAATTTTAATTTATATTCATTCATATATTTCTATTTAGAATTTATATACACACATTTTTGAGTGCCATCTCTCTGCCACCCAGGTTAGAGTTTAGTGGTATGATTATGGCACAACCTATGGGTTCAGGCATTTCCCCTAAGAAACCCGAGTACCATGGGACAACATGCACTACCACAATGAACAATTTTTTGTTATTTTTTATGGGTATGAGTGGCCATGCTGCTCTAAAACCTCTGGGTTCAAGACCTTCTCCCACTTCAGCCACACAAAGTATTGGGAATACAGTCTTGAGTCACCATGCCT